GTATGCTTAGGAAAAATGCTTCTGACAAGTGACTAGTATCTCTTTCTGATAGAGATATTAAAGATGTTATTTGTAGAATTTAATCAGTATAGTACTGATAAAAATAATGCTATTCCCTACCATTCATAGCAATACAATTGACTCAACAGATAATTCTTGGTAATTTGGAAGTTAGATATGTTTGACAGCGTAAGAAATTTGTGAAAATTATTTGGAAAACTGAGCTGTATGTATTTAGAGGTACGTTTAGAACAACATGGAGAAACTGTGTAAACCGTTTTCCTTAAATATTTTGTGTAGGAAAAACACACACAGTTAAGGATTTTAGGCATATAAGCCTGTTTGTGTGGTCAGAAGTCCTACATGTCAAGATTCTTTTTGTCTTCTGTAAGTTATCTCGAGCTGAATCTTAATCAGAAGAAAAAGTTGGAATTTCTTTTCTTCAGATTTGCATATTACAATTTGCCATATTACAATTGAATGCCTTGATTTAGTGTATTTTTCCACTTACACTTCATTTATTTTGTGTTGCAGCTGAAATAGACAAGAGGAATAGATGTCTTATTTCCTTGTACCCCTCTTATCATACTGTTGTGTTTGGTTTCTGTGACCGTAGGGGAAATGTTGTAACAGTTGTACGGAATGGAAGTTACTGGATTCTTTTAAGACTGAGCCATAATTTAAAATCTGTATTCATTCTGCAAAATTAATGGATGAATTCTAAATGTAATACTAAAAAGTACTTCTAAAATTTATGTCCTGATTGCTGTTCATTCAAACAGCAGCTGCACTTATAGGGTTATGGCACAACCATCCTGAGCTGGCAGTTTAAGGCCTCTTTTTGAGAATTTATTGTCATCCTGCTAGATTTGGGGAAGTGGGATATGTTCCCAGACTTCAGGTGCTCCAGCCTGAGGTCTTAATGCAAGCCACAGTTATGAGAAAATTAAACTCCTATATTGAACTGGAACAGTTATGGCACGGGCTCCATTCCGTTTTTGTCGTAGCTATGATCCTCAAGACTGGCAGCAAGATTCACTAGAGCTAGTTTCCTTTCCTAGTCAGTTTGTAGCTTATTCATTATGTTTTGGGAGTGAAGGTGCTTGAATAAGTTTTTTTGTTGTCTGGTGTTTTGTTTGTTCGTATTCCCCCCTCCCCCTCATTGGTCATCTCTCATGATTTCTTTTTTGTATTTATGTATTTTCTTCAAAATGAGCACTCTCTGTAATTTGAACTTAGGAGGATCAAGGTCCGGAGTGATTTGAGTTTGAGATGAGTCTGTAATAGCCTGAAGCCTTCAGTGTGAGGCAGGACAGTGCTAGCCACTCACCTTTAACTTGTCCATATGTTCTCTTGTCCCTTGTGCTTAACGTTTTCTTTCTTAAGCTTTGTGCCCTTGGAAAAGCATTTCAAACATACGTACTATTTGCTCTGCCTCTCTTCTTTCAAAGCAGTTGGGGGAAAAATTGCTTCTTGCGTTAGCCTTGCTTACCCCTTGCTTACCAGATGTTTCTGCTTACAGTGTGAACTTAAAGATTGTCTTCTAATTCATGCTCAAGATAAGAAGTTAAACCATGTAGGCCATGGACTCGTGTGTGTGTGTGTGTGTATGTGTGTGTTCATACAATGACTTTACTGTTTAGAGAACTTAAAAAGCAGTCTATGCTCAGACATAAATTGCATGCCTCCAGAGGGCAGAAGAGAGGATGGGACAGGGGTGTGTGCAAATAATAAATAAAAGGAAACCTGCATGCTCAATTTATTTGTATCTCAGCATTACAGTTTCTTAGTAACTACCATTCAGCCTTCCCAGAACTTAGGATTTTTCTACCTAAGCTTGGCCTATTATGTTGAGTGTGTATTAAGATATTACACAATGTCTTTTGCAAACATGTACTGCATGGCATAAATGTTACTTGGATTACATCTGAGAAATTTTTCAGTGAGGGATTTTGATGATTAAAAAGTCTTTCCTGACTTTTGATCTGTTACTATTAAATATACTTTTGTGTATTGTATTTTCAGTACAGTCAATTGGCAAAATAATTTGGTTTTTTTAATATATAATTGTTTTATTTCAGTAGTTGCTTCTGGCATCTGTATGACCTTTGTACTTTTTTGGGCAGCCTTTAAATATTCTAGTACAGATGCTTGTTGTGTAAAGGTAGTATATGTTGGTTGTAGTTGACTTCTAACCTGTGTGTAGAAAATGGGGGTGGAAGGAAGGTTTTATCAAATCACTTGTGAGGGCCTTTTCTGTAACTGACTGGCTTCATGTTACTTCATTCTTTATGTTATTTCATTCTTGGCTGCTTGCTGTGATTGTTCAGAATTTCATATACTTTTTAGTACTGTTACTGGTTTTGTCAACAGAATTAACCAACAACCAAGTCTTTCTTAGAAGTAGACTTGTACATACTTCTTGTTTGGATGTGTTACAATCTTTATTTTAATCTCTTTAGGATGCAGAAAATGCTATTGTACACATGGGAGGCCAGTGGTTGGGAGGCCGTCAGATCAGAACTAACTGGGCAACACGGAAACCGCCAGCCCCCAAAAGTACACAAGAAAGTAAGACCTTCATGTAATGCTATGTTGCGTTTGCTCTCTTGCATGACTCTGTTCAATGGAGGAATACAACATGATGTTGCCAAAATGACGTCACTTAATTACATATCTAGCTTGACTTCCAGATCTTAAAGAATAGGGTTTTTTGGTACATTATATCAACATAGTGGTGGCACTATGGGTCTGTCATAAAATATTGGATGTGTTTGTTAAATGTACAATTCATACTTGTGTACAAGGTAAGTATCTGGGAGTTTGTGGTTACTGTTAGCTTACTGCTTAAAAACAGCCTTCTCTCTTTATAGATAACACAAAACAATTGAGATTTGAAGATGTAGTAAATCAGTCAAGTCCAAAAAATTGTACTGTGTACTGTGGAGGAATTGCCTCTGGGCTAACAGGTATGATTTGTTTTACTGCTTTTTTATTATTGAAGCTTTTTGGACACCAAGACGGTTACTAATTCAAGAACATTATATGTTGTAGATCAACTTATGAGACAGACTTTTTCACCATTTGGACAGATTATGGAAATAAGAGTGTTTCCAGAAAAAGGTTACTCATTTGTCAGGTATGGACAGAGAAAAATAAAATCTGTGATTTTGTTGACGTAGTAATGTTTCATCTTTCTGTAATTTCACTTGATTGAACTTTTGCTGATACATTAAAAGCTGTCACCATATGTTCATAGAAAAATTTGGAACTTTTAAAAGTGGCCACCAATCTTTTTACCTGAGAAGATGAATATCTGTGAAAGCAGATCTTTTTCTCTGGATTTCCTGTATGTATGGAGTCACTGTTTTTTAACAGTCGGGTGAAAGTACTATAAAGCATAACATTAGTTTGTTTTTACATTCTTTAGATTTTCAACCCATGAAAGTGCAGCACATGCTATTGTTTCAGTTAATGGAACCACAATTGAAGGACATGTTGTTAAATGTTATTGGGGTAAAGAATCCCCTGATATGACTAAAAACTTCCAACAGGTAACTGCACTTTTTCATTATATCACAAAAGCAATTGTGTACATACCTGTAATGCCTTCCCAGTTACAATAGCTAAATTTTGTGTTAGTGTTCTTATGAAATTCCGTGTTCTGTCTCAGTTATGTTCCAGTTGCTCATCAAATTGGGCTAGTGATTTTGATGGAATATCTGTTACTGTCTTCTGGATATGATTCAAGATAGGGAGAAACTTCGAGGTAATTCTGATTCTTGCTAGTTCACTTACTGCAGACTAGGTGACTATTCAACCAAATACTCCTTGGTATTTCAAACACGCACAAACATGTTTTTAGCACAAGGATCTAATTAAGTCACAGTGATGTGTTATTTATTTTTCTGATCTCATTATTGCTCGTTTTAGCCCTGTGAGTGATATAGCCAAAAGTTTTGCCTTTAGCAGCACAAAAGGAACATAATCCATTTCTAGAACCTGAAGTACTATGAATTATTCTCTCCTTAGGTGGATTACAGTCAGTGGGGGCAATGGAGCCAAGTATATGGAAATCCACAGCAGTACGGGCAATATATGGCTAATGGGTGGCAAGTACCATCATATGGAATGTATGGCCAAGCATGGAATCAACAGGGTTTTGGAGTAGAGTGAGTAATTGTATTTAATTTCTTAGAATATTCCAAGAATGTTATATCTGAGTTTCAGGCTGATTTGGTTCAAGGTTTGCACAAGGTTTCAAGCCTTAGGTGGACTCCTACGTGCTTAAAGCTTACGTTTAATGATTACCATGGACCAAATAATGGGGTGAGTCACTCTGACTTGTACTCGATCACACATTTTATGTGTATGGGTGTTTTGAGACTCAAGGCACAAAGACGCCTTCTATGGTAGAGTTTCAAATGGTATTCTTGTCTGATATCTAAAAACTTTCTGGAATACTGGAGAGCCTGAACCAGGGAGCCCAGGTATCTACCTAAAGGGTTCATAACCCTGGAGAGAAGAAACTACATAGTGACATTTTAACTTCTGCAGTTTCAGAATTTGGGTGGGCTTTTAGTACTTGATCTCTTGAACGCTGAAATCTTTACAACAACTTTTTGTTTTAACGTACTTCTAAAAGAAGTTCTTCGCTCATGTAATTCTTCATTATCTCTTGCCAATGAAACGTATTAAGCCCTGATAAACCTATCGCTGGTATTCATGCCAATTAGGCGTTGGGAATTTTTTGTATTTCTGCATCACTGATGTTGACTTACAGCCACCTGCGTATGTACATGCCTTTGGAGACGGTTGTCCTATGCAACTAGTACCCAAGGTTTGTGGGGCTTTTTTTTTCTTTGTTCTTAAAAAGCTTATGATATTTTCCAAGAATCACATGTTGTAGCACTTAACCTGAATTACTCATTAAAGAGAAGAAGAAATTGTTCTATTTTGGTATGAAGAATAGTGCAGGAAGTATGTTTTTATGTTCCTTTTTTGTAGTCTGTTGTTTTGTAAATAACTTGACTAGCTTGCATGATTATTTTTTTTTTTCTTTTTTCCTTTCCTTTTTTTAACCATCCTGTTTCTTTTTAAGCCAATCTCCATCTGCTGCCTGGATGGGTGGATTTGGTGCTCAGCCTGCCCAGGGACAAGGTGCTCCTGTAATACCTAACCAAGCTGGATATGGTATGGCAAGTTACCAAACACAGTGAGCTGGGACTCTGTTTAAAAGTGTGTATTTCATGATAGGCTGCAGTTTCCAGTGACATTCTGAAGACTGGAATGTAGACAATGAAAAAAGAAAATATTTATTTTAAAAATGGAAATGTTTGGAACCTTTAGCACAGCTTTGCTTTGGTGAAGGACACAAATGTCTTCTAGTTCTGCCTTTTTAAGTTTTTGTTCATGATGGATATGGACATGTTTTTCTTTGTGTACAAAAATTAAAAATAAAGTCAATAAAGACAATTCTGACTACAAATTTTGATATAGTAGGAGAAATGGCTAATGAATTTGATCTTTAGGTTACCATTCCATTTTTTTGTTCTGTCTTCAGTGTTTTATATCACTGTGCTTTTTAAAGAAATGACGTTGAAAAAACAGCAAGTTGCTTTTAGTTGAACACGCATCCTGAAATAAACTGTGGACCAATCATTACAACCTGCTAGACAGTATTGATTTTTCAAGAAACCTATGGGCATAGCTCAGAAAGTATATGTAGGTCTTGGAATAATTTTTTAAAAAAATACTTAATTTTTCTACATGCTTAAAGAAAACAGTCTGATACAAAGAGTAGTTCAGTCTAAAATGAAAAACAGTACTGTCTGAGTAATTTCACATAACTTTTACTGTCCACATTCAGGCACACATTAAAACTTTTCAGAGCTGGTTTGCTTATTAAGACTGTAGTAATTTGCATTTAATTTTGAGAAGTAAAAACGTTTTTGCAAGTATGTTGTTTGTATTCAAATCAGACAGTCATACTTGTGCTTTTACATAAAGTTTGAAGGCTACACATTGTAAATATTTCATAAGTACAGTGTTTCAAGAGCATGCTCAAACATAGAAGTAGCAATGTAATTATTCAAAGTAATACTTAATACACTCTACTGCTTTAAATGCAGTAGATTGACAAGAATGTGCAAGACTGACATTTCCAAAGTTGGCTATTATGTAAAATTACATAAAGAACTATAACAAAGAGCCTTAATTTTAATTTCATAAATCTTTAATGCATCACCTTTTTGTCATTAGAAATACGAATTTTTTGCTTTACATTATTTGGTATGTAAATACCTTGGTTAACAACCTTGTAAACCTATTTCAAGGTTATTATAAGTTGTATAGTATCTTGAGTGTTTTGAAAAATCTTGATGTTTTTTAAGTCTAGAAATATTTTGCCCAAGAATTTTTTAACAAGATTGTTAAAAACATCTTATTTTAGAGAATATTCAATGTGCCATTTGGTAAATGGAGATGCAGTTGAAACAGTACACTGAGTTGTGACTTATTTTTAATTAAAGTTTTTGTCTTTATGGGTGGTTTGCATGTGATGAACCTGTACAGAGGCTGGGTTGTTTGTGTACTGAGTGTGTAAATGGATAAATCATGAAGATGTTTAAATGGTATACTTGGGTTATTTCTGAATTATTTTATGGATACATTGATATAAACTGCCTCAATAAATTTGAAGTTGAAAATGAATGTAAGTTAGATATAAGTACTGTGTCTTACCTATGACAGCTAGGGGGTGCAGGTGTTTCAGCTGTATACTGAAATACACTGAGGCAGGCACAATTAAAAAAAAAAAAAGTAGGATTTGGAGTGATAGTTCAGTGAGGCAAACTTGCATTTTAAAAGAAACAGAATGTTTGATTTTAGAGATGATAGTTCTAAATGAGTGTCTGAGAAGCTGCATATTTTATCTTTTCTGTTTCTTACCATGCAGGTGTTGCAAGTTAGAATAGATTTTGAAATGGAAACTTGCAGTTTTGTTAAACCCAGCCAGGTTGTGCAAATAACTACACTTAATGCTGTAGCAAATCACATGAGGTTTTTTCCTTCCTCTTCTACTTGACATGCTAAATAGGACCTTGACTTTTAGATCAGGTTGAAAGTGAGATATACTGGAAGAGCAGTTTAGTCAGTTGGCTCAACTGTACCCAGAGATACTTGTAACTCTGGGCATCTAATGCATGCAATAATGACTGAAGTTAGTGTGGAACCGTAAGTGCTTGTGATGACAGAATTGGCCCTTTATCTCTGTTTCTCCTTTATGGTATACGTAGTGTTTTTCCACTCAAGTTAAGAATCTTGTATACAAGATTTCTTTTGTTTTTCTATAAATTTTGTATATATGTGTATATCTATGCGAGGATCGGCCTATACGTTGTAGTTTGGAAAAAAAAATCACAAGTAAGTCTGCATTTTTGTTACACTTGCCCAGTTTAAAAAAAAAAATCACGAGTCAGTAGATATGTGAATTGCAAGTTACTTTAGGATTTCTTAGACTTCACTTGAAATCTGGGGTTTCTACATAATTCTAGGTATTTGACATATGACTATGTTCTGGATGCATGCTGATATGTAAGCAGTATGTTTTTTAGGGCACTACTGAAGATTTAGATGATGCAAGTACATTGCCACATAAATGCCCATATAAATGGGTGTAAGATTAAGGCAGTGATCTTCTAGGTCTCAATGTGTAGATCACCTTAAATCTGATTATTTAATATGCCTGCTGTAGAGCTGGGCCGTACCTGACCTGTATTTCAGGGTGAAAGATAGGATATACTTTCTCGTTTAAGTCTTTTGTCATTGATTTTTATACAGCTTTTCTTTAATGGTGATACTTCTTCGCAGACTGCTCAAGATATGGGAGTCTCCAGTGTCCCTTAATGTTTCTGTAGCACTGCGAGGAAGAGTTGTAATTTGGATTGCTTTCTACTCAGTAGCGTTCATAAATGCATCACTGACAATTTTTTGGCACCAAAGAGCCTCTTGCGCCATACTGCTTTTACGAGTGACTGTTACACTGTTGTAATTTCTCTAACTACAGAAATCAACCACTACCTAACCCCTTACCACTAGGATTTGGATTTCAAAAAGTATTGATTTATCATGGCTTAAGTTGATGCGTGCAACCTGAAGCAAGGTTGTAACCTGCATTTGCAGAAAATGTTCAATAAAAGTGAAACATGATAAAGGGCTTATCCTGTATTGTCATCTGTCAAAACATTGTCCCTCTTTGCTGTAAAACTGACAAGAGGCATACAAGGCTGAACTTGTAAACTATGCACTTGCAATCATGTAAAAGGTGTTTTATTTAAAATTTTTCATACAAAACCATTTTGTATTCTGCAGAGTTGCAGTAGTAAGGCTGTAAATCTAAGGTAACATGTAGCTTTTCATCAGTCCTGCCTCCTTGTGTATATTTGTTAACAGTTTTCAGGCATACTCTTTCTGCAGAACCTTCTTCCTTACTAAGGTAACTTTATGAGACAGCTATTCACTGTATCAGAACCATTTCCTTCATTCCTCTCGCCAAAAAAGTCTCACAGTGAATAAGGCTTAGTTTTGCAGAAAATTAGTGATTTGTTTTTCTTGTGTTTGTACACAAGGAAGCAGACTTAAACTGTATGGACATGATTAGTGTCTGATACTTCTTAATTATCTGACTGTTTTGAACAAGGGCACAAGTCTCTGTTTTAATCATGTGGAACTGTTTCCTGGTCAGCAATAAAAGATTTTGTTGCACTGTTGTTACATTGCAAGGTACAAGCAATCTTTTATTCAGTATAATTCAAAAAAATGGATGGGGTTTGTAAAGAACTGCCTTGTTCCAACTTGAATCTTCATGTATAGATAGAGTTTAGGATCTGGATTGCTGCTGTAATAGCAAAAGGAAGTTGTTCTTTTGAAACTGAGCATTTATTTGTTCTGATCATATGTGGTGCCTGTTCAACATTAGTAGATAGAAGGATTTCGCTATGTAGTAATGTTTCTGTTCGTAAAAAGGCAACTGCAAGGCAGTAACTGCTGGGAAGGTCTTTGTTGTGTTTCATTCCGGCCAACTTCCGTGAATCCAGTTGATTGTTTAAAAAAAAAAAAAAAAAAAAATTAAAAAGATATTTGTGTTTTTCAGTATCGCATGGGTAAAATCCCTCCCACAACTTTACCATCACTTCAAATCAAAGAAAATGCTGAAATGTTTACTGAATGTTTTACTTTAAAAAGAAACAGGATTTTATGTTGATGAGTGAACACTGATTCTGTCATCTTTCTGGGGATGTCTGCTGATCTAGATCATGGATGTGAATGATATGCTCTGTTCACTGACATTTAAAAAGGGTAATGACTCAGTTAATTTGACATCAGTAATGATTATTTGAATACAAGTTATTCTTGCTTAAATATATAGCCACTCATGCTTTGATTAAAGCTGATCTGAATCTGCTTGGTTATTAAAGTATTCCTGATACGCTGTGGGAAGAAACATTGCTTTGCCTTGTATCTTAGTATTCAAGCTGTCAATAAGACATCAGAGTTGCGTAGATGGTATTTTTTTGTTTAGAAGAAAAACACTTAATGGAGGTGTGTCAGGGAGTTCAGTGTAAGCTGACTTTTGTGTAGTGATGGGTAATAGCATTTAAATATTTCCCTTTTGAAAACAAGGGATCATTCGCTGTTCTTTGCGTGAACCCAGGTTCTCACTGATCCCAGATACTCGGCAGCTGTCTTTCCCAGCCGCATGCAGGGAAAGGATGAAAGGGAAAAATGGTGAGACTAGGTGGTACGCGTGCCAGACTAGCATGCATGATGCAGCAGCATCAGTGCCAAGTCATATTGTCAAACACATTTAAAATCATGACAGGCTTATGCAGATACCGTGGCAGTATCCAAAGGATTGTGACCATTCAGACACAAACTTGCGTTATTGCCTTACTTAAAATAATGTTGCTTTAAAATTACATAAATAGAAAACACATAACCTTTGGCCATTTTCTTTTTGGTTCCTGAGAAAATAGATGCACATTAAACAGCCAAGTTAGAATACCTAATTTGACAAATAAAGAAAACTTAAAGGAGCAAATTGCGTTAAGCGTCTGGATTTGTAGACCTTTGCTTAATTTAGACCTCTTAGCTTGGCATTCTGTTGTTTGCCTGTATTGACCCTTTTGTATAATTGCAGTAGTTTGAGGTATGCACAGCTGCTTGTTCCCATTCTTTAAATGTGTAATTTCTGGAGCAGGGGTGGGTAGGAATTGAATAAGAATCACAAGTCTACCACATGAAACACTGAATAATGCTTACATTTCCTAGATGGAAATTGACATCCTAGAGCCAACTCTGTAGAAGTTTAAGTATCACAGGTGATGATGAAAAGCTGCCATCCTCCATTTAAGTAGTTAGTTCTTTGACTTTAATAAATGGAGAAGAATTATTGGGGTGCTGTTCCTTGAAAAATGCTTTGTGGTTTCT